TTTGGTGAAACTCGTGATGCAATTCTGCTTTTGGTTCGAGGTCACGACTATCTGGTCTCATGTGTATGATGCTGTTTGATTGCTGAAGTTCACTATTGCTCATCTTCCTTGCACTTTATACTAGTCTATTGCACTCTATAGTTCAAATCTTAATTTCCGCGGTCCCAACCTTTAAATCCTAACCTCTGATTTCTAAAGCGTAACTTCAAACATCAAAATTCTGAAACTCCGAAACACCAATAATCTTCCCAGCTTCTTAGATTCCAGATCCCTATTTCCTGAAGTCAAAATCTAAATTTCCTACTTCCTAAACTCTAAAAGTGCTAAATTCTCCATGTGTAAGGACCTGCCCAAACACAGACTGAGAGCACAGCTGACTTCTGAGTTTTGCCACTGGAATGGATGCCTTGCTGAGATTCCCGTTTTCTGCTGAATTTTCTAAGTCTGTATGTGTGCGTGCTTGCTGGTCTGCGTGCCTGTCTGAGTGCTTGACGGCTTGAGTGTGTGTGTGACCCGCAAGGGTACTTGCTTGCTTGGGAGGCCCCGTAGGTCCGGTACTTACCTGTGGCCGTGACATTGAGGGTTGCAGCAGGGAAAACACTCAAGTAGCGGGAGGAGGCCTGCGACACTTAGAGCAGCGGGGAAAAAAACACTCAAGTAGCAGGTAGGCCGGTACCACTCAGGCAGCGCTACTGTCGGGGATTGGAGGCCGAGCAGAAGAAGGCAAAAGTTGGCATTTTTAGAGCCCCAGTTGTTGTTGGCTACGTCTAGGCGGGTACCACTCCAAGTAGACTGAATCTAGGGCCTGTACGAGCGATATCAGAGTCTGCAATCATGTTTCCCTCCAAAAGGGAGGAGGTACTGGCTGCTTGGAGGGCGCGCGAACTGGAAGTCACCGCCCAAGAGGCAAGTTGGCCGCTAAATCTCCAGGAGGAGCGAAGTGCTCCTCATTTCCTGTGTGCAAGTTTGGGCGACACACTGCTGGAGCGAGTGGTGGAGCAGCACTGCTGGGGAAGGAGCGCCCAGCTCTCCACCTTGGCTATGGTGGAGGAGCTCAGGCAGGAGCAGGAGGAAGAAGGAGGCTAAGGGGGAGGAGAGCCAGGGGTACTGACCTGGCTATGGTGGACACCATCTTCATCACCTTGGTGGGCGCTGTATCTGCAAGACCCCCGTTGGGGTAGAGCTACACCAAGAAGCTTCGAGGCACAGTCAGGCATGTCGGCCTGAGTGGAGGCAGCCATAGCTGTTTTCTGTTGTCTTTTGAACGTCATGGAAGGGCCCTAGTAGTCCGCCATAGCCTCAGTCTACGAAGAGGAAGCAGAAGGGCGGCCATGGCTATGGTGGACCTCAAGTTGTGCTGGCAGGAGAAGAGGATTCCGACATTGATTCTGGTTCTGCCATTCATCATTATTATTATTTTTTATTGTTTGAATAAGAAAGGAGTAAAGGAGGAGTTTGGTTGGCGAGGAGAAGGGGGATTATCATTGGTCTTTGCTGGTGTACATCTTCTTCTTCTTCTTTCCCCCTCTCCCCTCTCAAGCTCATTCATTTCTTTTTGCAATCGAACGCCGTTGTACTTTCTTGTGATTTTCTATCGTAACACATGCCCAAAATTCTTAATAAATCCTAATGGCTAGTCGTATCTGATCAAGTATTTTCTGCTGATTGACGAGGTTAATTGCTATGGACTGTGGATAGGCTTTCAGTCTTGTTTACTCGCACCATCAATTTATAGGGCCGTTTGTCGAAAACATTTTACAAATCTTTTACAAATATATTTGCCTTCTGATTGGGGTTTGCCCGTCAGGTTACGTCTAGAGCATCACCTTCAGGGTTGGGTCTCTCGGCCCAGAGGAGGGGAACCATATACAACACTAAAAAAGCAAGAACTCAAGTAGCGATTTACAACCAAGTGAAGAAATTGACAAAATAGAAGACAAACTGAGAGAAAAGCACGCCCAAGGCATAAAGAAGGAAAAATCAAAGTGGCGATTAACAAGGAAGTGAGGAAATGGACAATGCATGGAGGAATGAGGCTCACAACAGTAATAGAAGCAAGAAGTCAAGTAGTTATTTACAACGAAGTGAAGAAATCGATAAAGCGTAGGGAGAAAGGGCGAGAAATCCTGGGAGGACCACACAAGGCGCAAGGTGTAAGTCCTTGAGAGGGTATGGGTGGATATGGGGGCTAGCTCTATTGTAGGCCTGTGGAGGATTTTCAGGTCATGCATCGGCCCTGGCGAGGACAGATAGAGACAAGGGGCGCTGTTTTCAGCAGGGCCTGGTCTTAGGTGGGCTGTCTCTGTTCGTTTTTTTTTCTTTTCAAAACGACACAGACCCCTTCCATTATGGGGGGCAGCAGTCTCTGTTGCTCATCACCGGCAAGCATATAGTTCAAGAAATGATACGGGATCAGCTGTGGACAAAGGATAACCCAGGGGTTTCGGAGCTAACCCTGGCAGGGTTACCCCGCAGCAGGGTCAAGGGCATCTCGAACTCATGGACCTCCGTCCGATCCGGAGGCGGTGGAGGGAGGCAGGAACGCACCCAATCGCATCCTCTCCTAGACCAGGGGGGGGGGCATGCTATGACTATGTCCTTGCCCCTGACTCCACCCAATCTCCTAGACCAGGGGGGGGGCATGCTATGACTATGCCTTTGCCCCTGACTCCCCCCTCCCCCGCTTCCCCCCCCCCACCCCAAACGGATCGTCACAGCCAATGTTTACAACTAGTGCATTTCAATTCCTAATGTTCCTCACTCCCTTCGACGGGCGTGTACGGGGTCCCACCACGAGAGCAGACAGCCGAAGGGAAGACGGTGGATAAACCGATCCTAAACCGATCCTCACTCCCTTCGACCCCATCCTGGTCAAGCTCGATGAGAGGGCAAAACTCAGCGAAGGCCTGACCTGGAGGGCATGGGACACAATCACAAAGTTGCCGTACAACGTGCTGAACGAGAGGTTCAGCACGTCCGACAGCATTGCAGATTCGCTGGCTGACATCATCAGGACCCGCCTATTGACCTCCAAGACCTCGCTGCAGGACGAGGCAACCCCCATCGACGTGGACATGGGAAGGGAAGATTCCGACATGGAGGATGAGGGGGAAGTAGAGAGGGAAGTGGACAACAAGATCTCCCCTGGGGGAGACGACGCTGGGCCTCCAACGAAGTCGGAGAGCAGCGCTGGGGAGTACGGCCTGAGCTCCTCAGCAGCCAGCGAGGACAGCAGGGACTCCGACACCGACAGCAGCAAGACCCAGGCAGCTGTGGACTGAATCAACTTACCACACTAGAAATATAACTCCACCCCTCAAATTAATGAAATCACAGCACCAAGAACCAAAGAAAAACAGGTAAGGAGGAGAGGAAAAAAAAAAAAAAAAAAAAAAACATCAATAAGAAGCAATGCAGAGCTACACAGCAATCAGGAACGAGCAGATCAGCCCACCCAGAATAAACTGGCACGCTAAAGGGCTTCAGATAATCAGCTGGAACGTCAATGGTCTTGGGAACATTCTGTTCGACAAAGACAAGCTCAGAGATATCCGGACAGGTCTGGTGGGGAAGGACATCCCCAAACCCGACCTCATACTCCTCCAAGAGACACATCTAACCAACCTGAACAGTCACCCGAAGATACAGCAGAGGATGGAGAGAGTTGTAGGAGGATGTGCAGTTTCAATGTGGGCCAACAGAGACGGTCAAAGCAATAGAGGGACAGCGATACTGATCCCAAAAACGTCGGAAATCCTGACCGAAGGACAGATCCTTAACAGCGAGGGAGATAGAGAGGAAGGGAGATGGTCGTGGATGGACATCAAGTGGCAAGGTGAGGATCTGCGAATTCTCAACCTGTACGCACCCAACACCGAATCTGACAGACTGATTTTCTTTGAGAATATCAAACCCCTCATCCCCAACCCACAACCAGTAATCATTGCAGGGGACTGGAACACAACCCTAGACCCAAACCTGGATCGAATCTCAAGAACGGTACTAATGGGACCCACTAGAGTGGGCACCCGGATTCGAAACCTGATGACTGAATTCGAACTCTGCGACCCCCTCAGGTCACTGCACCCGGACAAGAGAATTTTCTCCCGAATAAGGAGAAACCAAGCCAACCGGACTTCGCTGTCCAGGATTGACTACTTGCTCATATCCGAGAGCTTACTCGGAACAGTCAAAGAGGCCGAAAGCCTCCCATCAGCAGCCTTTAAAGGACTAGATCACAAACCCATCCAGATGCTGCTCAATTTTAATGTGCATTTCAAACAGGCCAAGGCTTCTTCAAGCTTAACAACTCGTTATTAAAAACCGAAAGAATGAAGGCGACAGTCCAAGAAAACTGGGCTATCAATAAACAGCGAGAATCAAGGAGAACAAATAGCCACCAATGGTTCATTGACAGCTACACAGAACTAACACGATCAGTATCAGCGGAATCAAGAGATATTGCTAGAGACCGAAAAAGAAGAAGGGARRAACTCCAATTYGCGATGGTYGTCGCTGAAGAAAATCTGGCGGAGGACCCAACTAGTAGTTTCTACCAAGAACTACTAGACGACACCAAAGAGGAACTAAACGAATGGAGAAGATGGGAACTCAGAGTAGTTTCTGCCAAGAA